CTAGAGTAGCAATCAATCAAAGCTATTTTGAATTCAATGGCAAAATTTTCAAACAATTAGAAGGATTGGCTATGGGTTCTCCACTTTCTGGTATTCTAGCAAACATATATATGCAGCATCTAGAATCATCAAAAATCATAAACGACGAAAATCCATTTAAAAAAGATATAATCTATTGGTATAGATATGTCGATGATATATTATGCTTATACAACGGCAATAAAGACTCATATCAAGATTTTTTTGAAATACTTAAATTCTATCTCCCCAACAATTAAATTTACGATGGAGACACAAGAAAAGAAGATAAATTTCTTAGACATAACAATTACTAAAGAAAACGATCGACATAGTTTCAATATATATAGGAAACCTACCCAAACTGACCTAATCATTCCATTTGAGTCAAACCATCCTTGGCAACACAAAATTTCTACATTCAAATCAATGGTATTTAGACTACTTAACATACCAATGTCTAAAGACAACTTTGAAATAGAAAAGAAAACTATAAAAAGAATTGCAGGAACAAATGGATACAAAGAAAAAATGATTGAAAAATTAATAAAAAATGAAAAAAACTAAAAGAATGAAAGTAGAAGAACAAGAAAATGTAAAGAAAGAATTTATATGTATTCCATTCAGCTCATCCTTAAACAAAACCTTAAGAAAGACATTACCGAACTCAAAATTTAAACTAAGTTATAAAACAAGGAATAACGCTTTTAACATAATACAAAAAAGAACAAATCCGATACCCAACCCACCAAATGTATATAAGAAATCAGGAATTTACAAATTATCATGTAACAACTGTGAAAAATACTATATTGGTCAAACAGGTCGAACATTTGAAGTCAGATACAAAGAGCATATACAGGCAATCAGATCAAACAATATGACAACACAAAAATCCTCATACGCCGAACATATACTTCAGACCGACCATACATACTCAGAAATGAATAAAAACATGCACATTCTGGATATTGAAAATAAAGGAGAAAAAATGAATACAAAGGAAGACTTTTATATTTATACTCACCATATTAATGACAAAGACAATTTACTAAACTTGACACAAATTCAAAATCAAAACGTAATATTCAATGAAATTATACATCTTAAAGAAAACACCTCCTTCCCTTAATATAAAAATTATCACCTGTTCTTTAATAAGAAATATCTAATAATGTTTGTAAATAAAAGAAACTAATAGGTTATATACTATACTGTGATCATGGCATTAATGTCCGAAACATGTAAGTAATATAAAATAAAATGTTTCTAGGGTACTGTGGTATTGTGATTTGCTTAATAACATTTAAAGTAGCCCTCATTGATGTATACAATAACAAAATATATATATATATATATAAACTAGCTGTAACCCGCGGGCTTTGCCCCGTTTAACTCCTTAATTTTCAAGATTATCTCGTTCGGATGGCTCAATCACGTCCTGGTTGAAGTTTGTTCGCTACGCTCACTCACCTTTAGGTTGGAGCTCGTTCGCTACGCTCACTCACCTTTAGGTTGAAGCTCGTTCGCTGCGCTCACTTGCCTTCAGGATAGCTCGTTGCTCGTTCGCTACGCTAACTCGCATCCAGGTTGAAGTTCGTTCGCTACGCTCACTCACCTTTTGGTTGCAAATTAGCTGTTGTCATAAATGTAAAAGAAATAATAGTGCTGCACCCTGTTGGTAATCATTGTAACTTTATTGCTATTGAACATCATAGAACAGAACCAACTTGTTAATTGAAACAGCTGTTAAGATTCAATAATTCCGTTTCTCATAAGGTTAACATGGGAAACTCCAGAGGCACTGGGGCGGAGCCCGAAAGGATTTTTTAAATAAGAATATGCCTATATGTTAATCGGGAATGTGAGCTATCATCATGCCAAATTTCAGCCCAATCCGACCAGTATCTTTCGCGTTCACTTGTCACAAACATACATCCAAACTTTCTCATTTATAATATTAGTAGGACAAGTCTATATATATATATATACATATATAAAAAATTGAACGAATGGTGTTTTTGGCCTCTGGGGACATCAAAATGAAAAAGTAAATTGGTCCCGGGTCTAGGTCTTACCGTGCCACCTACGGTAATAGCTACTTCCCTATAGGGAAATTCGCTAAAACTGGATAAGATCAAAATCTAATTAATGATTACTTATAATTTTTAATTAATTATAAAATTAATTTTAAAATTTAGTATTATAAAATTAAACTGTCATAACCTAACCTAACCAACCAAACTTGCTGATATGAAAAATTTGTTGACAAAAAGTTAGTGCTACCCGCGGGATTCGAACCCGGGACCTCCTGAACACCAAATCGAAACGCTACTAACTATGCCACGAACGCCGCTGAAATCACACCGTTTCGTTACGGTAATCGTGTTGCCTCAAGAGTAGACATTAGCCACTAGCCACTAGAGATATGACGTCACTACCCCTTTAGTCTTAGTCCCTCCCGTGTGCCCATTCCACTTACATCGATAAAGACACTAGACAGCTGTACAATAGTTTTTTTCTCAAGGTCTTCTTTAATTGTATTAATCACTGAGCTAAAATTATAACTGGAGGTAGCACTGCCATGGCAGAAGTCTGTCAAAAGCGAGTCGCTGATTTTGTTAGGTTGGTATAGCAGTAAGTTTTCTTACCATAGCAATAACATGGCTTCTTATAACTAGGTTGGTATAGCAGTGAGTATTTTTGTCAAACTTGAATACTTTTAATACTTTAATAATTTTCTTTGAAATGGCGACCATACAAAGTAGGTATTTTAAGCCAAGTATAATAATAGCCATAGCAATAATATGGCTTCTTATAACTCACACCTCACGCAAACATGGCGGCTGGCGACACGCATCTTTGACATTCAGTGCTACCTCCAGTTAGAATTATAGCTCAGTGGTATTAACCAATCTATGTACTTGTTCAACTGTGGAATTTTTTGCCGTCGAAATCCAAACTGATGATGATTTGGAATCAAGTTTCTGTCCTCTACTTCTTCAAGTAGACGATTCAAGAAGAGCCTCTCAAACAATTGGATGTTATGGAAGTAGACTGATTTGACTGATAGGTCGATATGAACTTGCTTGTTGGGGTGGTTTCCCTGGCTTTGCTATCACGGATTATTTCTGAAATTTTCCATTGTGCCGGGAAATACTCAGTCCATATAATTGAATTAAAAATGAGTGTCAGGTATATAAATGCCTAGGAAGCTCTTTCATTATTTTTCCTGTGATTAAGTCGTATCCAGGGGCTTCAAACAGTTTTAATTTGTTTACAAGTTTACATACTTCTGAGGGAGTAAAAGGCTTTATTTGAGGTGATAACTGATTTGGCGAGTCAATGAACTCAAGAATTTCGTAATGATTATTAAAATTATTATTTTGATTTTGATTGGGAGTAAACACTGCGGCCAAGTGGTTTGCAAACACTTCAGACTTTTCAATATAGTTTTTTTTCTTGCCCAAGTTCCATCCCATCGGACTTAGAGATGGGCGCAATCAGGATATTTGGACGGTTCATCCCTCTAGTAGCTTTCCATAGAGAGTAGTTTGTTGTATTATTAGGGGACAAATTACCTGTATATTTAGAAAACCATTCATTTTTAAAATTTTTCAGATCCCTCTTAAGTTCTTGAGTTGCTCGGTTAAATTTAGTTTTGTCTCTCGGATTTCTATTAGTCTGTTGCCAAATTCTTCTTAATCTCCGCCTCTTCTCAGCAACTTTCCGTTTTACATGTAATGGATAGTTGTATGAAGTAAAATGTTCCTGTCTTTTGTACAGGAGTCGCTTGCCAGCAGGATTGTTAAATTACATTGTTAAAATTTTCTACAGCGTCATCAATGTCATAGAGTTTCAAGAGGTATTTTTTAGGGAAAGCTCTTCATTTACTCTGTATTGAAATATGTCCCAGTCAGTAGATTTATTAAACAGCTTAAGAAGCTATTCTTTACACACAACAGCCGAACTTAAGGTGACAATAATAATTTGTGAATGGTCTGACGACAAATCCAGGCTTGCTTTCACATCAATATAGTTTTGACCACTGTTTTGACCAATTCCTTTTTAATCCAGTCAATAAAGGGATTGTAGAGGACATGGAGAGGGGGAAATTTTTTTTCTGTGGGAATGTGTTCGGGGTAGTTAGAAGATAAAAATACCAAAAGTCCCCGCCCCTGGCCCTGCTGCTTCAGCGGGGGGAGGGGGGGAAAGACCCCATTTTTTAGTTTTTTACTTCTACACTGAAAACCGTGTATCGTACGGAAAAAATGTAAATTATAAAAAGAAAGATGATAAAATTCTCTACAAGAATGGTCATATTCATTTCTTCCGTATATGCATTGGTTTAAAAGATATTCTCAAAATAATATAAAAGTTCTCAAATAAATTGATTTTTCACACGTTTTTTGTCAAATAAGTTTATATAATCCATTCCCGCAGAAAAAAAATTTCCCCCTCTCCATGTCCTCTACACCCCCCTTTTGAGCATTCATTGACTGGACTATTTGTAATAAAGAAATCTAACAAATCAGGAATTTTTTTGAGGATCTGTGGGTCAATATGTTGGTTCAGCTGTTGATATAAACTGAAAATTGTTATTGTAAAACACTCTCCGGTTTTAAATTACTGAAATTACAATAAACAAATTGTATACAAAACACGACATCTACAGTGCACCGCGGGCAGAGCTAACGATAAAATTGACTCATTATAAAACAAATTGTATAATGTATATAATATAACACGGCTTTAGAGGTTTATTTGCATAAATGCAATATTTTGTTAATGTTTTTTTACTGACACAAGACAAATTATTATTACCATTACAATGCTTCATATATTTTATATATATACAGTAAAATTGTTATATTCATAGACCAAGTGACCGAGAGCAGTACAGTATTTATAAGGCTGTTGGTTGTTGATAAGCTCGACAGCCAACTTCAGCCTGGTCATCCTGTCAAACAATAAACAAAACAAAAGGCACCAAATGGCACCAAACAAGTGAAATAGAAATAAGATAGGGGGTTATGTTATGTTATGTGGGGGGCCGGTCCGGCGGTCGCGGTGGTTGAGGTGAGATTAGAAAATCAAATCAGTGTGTGGTGTTGGTTTTTTGATATATAGAAAAAATAATAACAATTGATACAGTAGGCCTACTATTGAAGTCCCTCAGTATTTTACTTTCTTCAAAAATGTCATGCATTCTTTAACTAAAAATAAACTTAAAACCTACAAGTTTTTTGTATCTTACAAGATTTATAATTGATCTAAAACTAACATAAAAAAATAAGTAACTGAAGTTTAATTTGTCAATATTTTGTTAGAAGGGAGAAGGGAGCCTCAGATAAAACAAAATGTTCAGTGGTATTAAATTTTATTTCCATCCAGCAAAGTTCAGCAAAGGAAGACTGAATGTGTTTACAACACAAGTAAAAAATCATTGTGGGATAGTGGTTGAATCAAGTGAGGAGGCAACTTATGTCATTGTGGAAGAATCTTGTGACACTTTATCATTACCAACATCACTTTGGCATGAAGACAGAGTTCTTGGTTCTGTTTGGCTCAGCAAATGTCTTAAGGAAAAACTTGTCGTTGAATTTCAACAGTTTCGAATAACCAAGCCCAGTTTAAAGCGGTTAACAAGTTCCCCCGAATCAGCTGGAGCTGGTACAAGTGAATCAGGAAGCAATAAATCACCAGATTACGATTCTAGAGGTCAAACATCTAAGGTACATACTTACATTAAGTTTTATGACACATAGGCCTATTGTTAACAAAAAATTACCAAACAGTAGCTTTATGCCTGTTAAAGGTCAATTCACACATGAGTTACGGCACGTCGCAGTCCAGTCACTTCAGGCACGTCACAGTTAACAAAAATATTCTTGAAGGATTTTCTATTATGTGCTATCTACACTCATTTGTTGCAGTTCCATCAATCCCTCTGCCGGCATCCATCAGTAAATTTTTATTTCTTTTCACCGATATTTTTGGATTGACCTAGTAGGCCTAGGTTCTTTTTTATTTAAGTTAAATGCTCGAGTTTGTATTTTAAGTAGGTAATGTTAGTAACAATCAACAAGACGGACGATGAAAATTTGATAGAAAATTGTGTTTTAATCAAACATTTTTTACTGTAACAACACTGTAAATAAAGTGACGGAAGAGTGACTGAAACCAAATGACTGACAGATTGACGGAGAAATTGCGGATGCAACTGTGACTGGACTGTAACGGAACTGTGACTGGACTGATGTGTGAATTGACCTTAATAAGGCATTTATTCAGTCGATCAGCAAATTACAAATAAGCAATGAACATCATTAAGTACAAATAGTACCGGTAGGCCTACATGAATAAGTCGGAACATAGGCTAGGTACGGTACCTATTTGTTTATGACAGCTCCTTAAACCCTGTTGGCCCTAAACCATAAAATTCTGGTTAAGTAAAACATAATGGTTAACACACTCAAACGCTTTTAAAATCACTTCCTAGCACGTCATTTTGGAAAAAATACACTTCACATAATGTTGAACACCAACATCTCCATGTTTCAAACCAATCAGTTAGGCCTATTATATTCAGGTTTTGCTGTACATTTTTAGAAGCTTGAACTGGATTATGATTGAAGTCGTCACTATGCGTGATTCAATTAATTTGATATCACGGACGATTAAACATTAAAAATGACAAAATAAATGTTAACAAAAAACCCACCTTCTTTATTTCATTCAACCAAACAACACACTAAACTAATTAGGCTACTGTTTTTAACAAAACAATTGAAAAATATATGACTGTTTAGGGGCCTATATATTAATTATTAAACAGTCTTTTGGCAAACTTATGTGGAAATATCTATTGAGGGGTTTTCTTTATAGATGATTAATCATCTTACGGTACGTCAATCATTCCCCCCCCCCCCCAAAACCTTCAATATATATTTCAAATCTTCCTTGTCCTAGGCCTCAAGTTATAGGCTACCCAGGTGATGTATCGTTATGGTCTTCTGCTTCTTGTTCATCATCTTCGGATTGAGCTACTTCACGGAGAGTTTGCGGGAGTATTTTTAACTCTGACATACCTTAATTGGTGGATCAGACCTCAAGAGATACACTCCCTTCCCTAGCTTATGTTCCACCTCAAAAGGTCCAAGCCATTTCCGTGCCATCCCTGCATGCACATTTTTAACCTTACTACTCAAGGGATGAATTCGCCGAAGAACCAACGTACCCGGTTTCAGGTCCTGCTCTTCAGGTACATCGTTTCTCTCTGCTTCCCTCCTTGAACTCTCTTCGGCTTGTCGATTCATATGTTTGATTTGTTTCACGTTTTCTTCTTGCCATGTAGTGAAATTCATAGTTTCAGTAGACTTTTCATGCATGAAGTTCCAATCACCAGTTCTTTTTATTAACCTACCAAGAAAAAGTTCTGCTGGGGAGAAGCCTGTGACGCGATTCACTCGCTGTCTGATGGCCAGGAGAGACTCACACAAGTGTTGATCCCATTTGGTATGTTCTTTGTCAAACAAATGAATCCTGAACAGCTTCTTAAGCTCCTGATTTCTCCGTTCAGTACGATTTGACTGAGGATGGTAGATTGGCGTTGTCCAGTGTTCAATAGCCCACTCAGTTAAAGTCCGGAACCATTGTTTTGACGTGAACGGACTGCCATTATCTGTGAGAAGACATCGTGGATAACCATATCGACTAAAGACCTCTGTTTGTAGGATCTGTAGGATTCTTCCCGATGTAACTTCAAGAATGGCAAATGCCTCAACCCACCTGGTAAAAAGGTCTGTCACCACCAAAATTCCAGTCTTCCCTCGAGATGTTCTGGGATATGGTCCCATAAGATCTAGAGCAACAACCTCCCACGGCTGGTGTGGCCGACGTCCTCTCATGCTAGTACTAGCTTTACGGTTGTTAGCCTTGGAACAGGCACAGATAGTGCAGGATTGGACGTAGTTCTTGATATACTGATGCATATGTACCCAGAAGAAACGACGCCGAATCGAAGTGTAGGTCTCGTCTTGTCCTGGATGGCCAGCTTCAGTGCTGTCATGGCACTTCTCTAGAATTCTTACAGCCTGAGACTTCGGAACTACAATCACAGGAGAAGATTCTGATAGATGAGATTTTTACATAAGTAAACTGTCTTCCAAGCGAAGGTTCTTATATAGTCCTCGCCACCCTAAGTTGAGGCAGCCCAAGGCCGCACGGCGAATACCTAGTGTGGCCTTTGGCTGCCTCAACTTAGGGTGGCGAGGACTACAGCATGTCTTGAACTGAAATTGGATAGCTTCGGAATTAGTGTAACGCTTGGTTATCCAGGATTTCATTCTACTACAAGCTGCATCTTCCTTCTGCCATTTCTTTATCAGTTCCAAGTCAATGTAACAATTTTCCCGTTGTGTCACCATAAAAACAGGCTCAATCTGTCTTAACTTCATTGGGACTGGAACTTCCCTCTCCATGAGTTCTTTTGATATCTCACCACTGTCTACCGGGTTTCTTGACAAGCTTCTTTGATTGAGATCCGATATTCCCGTTTTTAGTTCATCCAAAACATTGTTTTCTAATCCTGCTCCCAAATCAAAGTGTTTGTCCTCTAACCATCCCAATCTAACTCTATTTTTAATGCCAAAAAATATTTCATTTGCTGTATAATCCATCAACACACCGTATTTGACAAGGGAATCATGCCCCAGTATGATTTCCGGCATTAAATCCTTAATAACTTTTACCGGAATGTGAATAGATTCTTGAGAACATTTGGCTTCAAGAAAAGTAAATCCGATTTTGTAATTTATATCTTGTACTGCTCCTTTGACAACAGTTACGCCGTCTGGACAAACAGGTTTTAACAATTTAGCCACCGTCATGCCAATAAACGAATGTGATGCTTGAGTATCAAGGACTGCAGTATAATATTTGTCACCAATCTGTAAACTAATTGCCGGACAGGGATTACCCACACTCTCACTAGAAATTTGACCAATATAGGTTCTTTCTGACTGGTAGTTTTGCGACTTAAAAACTCTTCTAGAACCATTCTCGCCCCTATTAGAACGGTTCTGGTCTAGTTTTCCGGACAACGGGCCTTCACATGCCCAGTTTGCCCACATTGATAACATTTAAAGGAGTTAGGAGTTAGGTTCAAAGATCTTGTTTTTGAGGAATAAAAGCTTACCTCTTCGTCTAGCTTTGCTACTATGCTCCTGAGCTCGTCAAATGATTTTGGTTGAGCTACCTTAACGAGAGACCTAATCTTATCATGTAAAAGTTCCACAATATAAGTAACACTCTCGTCAATACTCCCACCATCATTCATTCTCTTAAACAACTGTAACTTTTTAATAACAAATGCCCCGGCTCTCATGCCACTAGGCTGAACATCTCAAGAATTTCTTAGTGATTAATGCTTTTACAAATTCTGAATTAAATCTCTGCATAAACTCATGTTTGAATGTGTCCCATTCTAGACTTAGACCCTTAATGTTTTGCCACCAAGTACCTGCCGAACCCCTTAACTCTTGGCTCACAATCTGCAGATATATTTCTGACGGTATACACGTCCGTTTTAACAAAGACTCGCACGTAGCTAGAAACGCTGTGGGACATTCCCCAAACCTCCCATGAAATTCCGGTAGGCTGTCTTTTATAATTTTGGGATCTACAGTAGGCATGAACGATAGTTGGGATTCTGGATTATTCAATGTAATTGTCTTTTCCTGTGAAGATATCTGTGATCTCAAAATCACTTAATATTGATATTATAATTATTCTCTGGCATCGAACACAACGTTTTCGGTTGTATTTGAATCCGAGGTCCCGCACCAGGACCTCGAAACCAGCGGGGACCTCGGACCCATGGTGAAAAATCACATCGATCGCCTTTGAAACGGCCTTATACGCACGCACAAACTTTTAGAATTATAATATTAGTAAGATGAAACTATTGATTGGCTAAGTTAAGCTGAAATAAACAAATCAGAATCCTGAACACCAAGGTGTTTTTTTTTTTTTTTTTTACCAATTTAAACTGATGTAATTATTTATTCTGAGCTATAGCAACTGTTATGGCCCAGCCCAGCAACTATGCTAGTAACACAAATTTAAGTATCCAATAGTCAATGATATAATATAAATAGAGATTATTCTTTTTTACAAGCTAGCAAAAAAATAGACGTGAGAGTTATCAAAACTATCACTAAGAAAAGAATATTACAACTCTAAAAGTTGTTGCGTTATTGCCTGTCTGTATAGTGTATAGTGTATAGCCTTCATCTCTGGCGACGCAATGCCCGCCTGCATCTTAGACCTTCCGGGACTCGAATCTTAGACCTTCCGGGACTCGAATCTTAGACCTTCCGGGACTTAGACCTTCAGAAACTTTCATTTTATTAATATTTATTTACAAAATTTACATTGTGTGTCCAAGGTCTAATCTCGCAAGGTCTAAAACAGTATCAGTGAATGAGTTTTTTTGCATTGACTGTACTCTTAGACCTTCCGGGACTTAGACCTTCGACATACTGCCAGATTAGACTCTCAGCAACAAGTACAAACTGCAAAATGTGTGTCGAAGGTCTAATTAGACCTTCCGGGACTGAGACCTTCAGCAACACTCCCATTGTTTGGCTTGTGCCTGTAGAGAAGAAACCTCTATAAGACGAATAACGGCAGTATTAAACCTCTTTATTAAGAATAAGTTATCTTGATAGTATGAATTTCCCCACTACCCCTTGAAATTTGTCTTATAAAGGTTCAACTGTAGCTAGTACTTAATATATCCCCATCTTTTCTCCACTGTTAACTCTGGGGAGTTCCTGTTCTTGTAGGGCACTAAAACCAATGAATACACAATATAAAGAAGAACAGGTCCTGTGGACAATATTCTAACAGTATTTTTAAATTTGTCGCGTAAAATATCTGTAGTTCTGCACTGAACCACCATTCAGCGCTGGCGTCAGATTTAGCACGCGGTGAAGTGTGAGAGAGAGCGACATACACTGTTTTCGTCCCCTATGGGCCAGGCCATGAGAGAGAGAGGGAGGGGACGAAAACAGTGTATGTCGCTCTCTCTCGCACTTCACCGCATGCTAAACCTGACACCAGCGCTGAATCGTGGTTCAGTGCAAAAGTACAGATATTTTACGCGACAAATTTAAAAATACTGTAAGAATATTGTCCACAGGACCTGTTCTTCTTTATATTGTGTATTCATTGCTAAAACTGTTTGTGAGTTTCAGTGTGAAATCTTTCTTATTCGGTTTTTGTAATTTTTTTATTGATTTGTTGGTTACTCATACTTTTTGTTTTTACCAAATAAAAATTAAAAGTTATAAAGCTTAAACTTGTAAGTATTAATTATAGTGAAGACTAAATAGCGGCATTTTTGTTTCAGAAATATGCTTGTTCACAACCTTCTTTGAAGAATAGTGAGGCTTGTAATGCTGCAGTGTTAGATCAACTACAAAAGTTAGCCGATGTGTATAGAGCTCGAGGAGACCAGTGGAGAGCTCATGGTTATGAAAAAGCTATCAGTGCAATTCGACGTCACGGCAAGGAAATTACAAGCTTTGAGGTAGTGGAAAAACCTTGCTACATGTAGGTCAGTTTTATGCATTGTTCTAAATGAACTGAACCAAATAGGTTATGATACTTCGGTATAATTGTTGTAAAAAGTACATCTTGCGAACATTAGAGGAACCCAATGTTGTACTCATCAGTATCTGACCCAAGTTTTTTTTTTTTTTTTTTTTAGGATGTTGCATCTCTGGAAGGTGTGGGATGTAAGATGGCTGCCAAAGTCATGGAGGTGATTACAACTGGTAGTCTGAGGAAAGTAGAAGAGTTATGTACAACAGAGGAGTCCAGAGTGGTAGACCTGTTCAGCAATATTTGGGGTGCTGGACCGTCCGCGGCCCACACGTGGTACACTAAGGTACAATAACTTCAGCAGTTAACCAATGTTGCGTCAACAGTTCAACAAGTGGTGGTGAAACTCACAACATGTTTCGCCTATTCAGGCATTGTCAGGTGATCTTTACAAGAATGTTTCAATAAATTTAGATTCGCCATTACATATAAATACACAAATATACATAATACACACAACAACAAAAAAACATTTAGAGTAAGCCTACTCATGTCTCTGCCTCCGTACCGCGACCGGTAAATAGTAGGCCTACTCTAAATTTTTGTTGTTGTGTGTATAATGTGTATTTATTTGCAAATATGAATCTAATTTGGATGAATCATTCTTGTAAAGATCACCTGACGATGCCTGAATAGGCAAACATGTTTTGAGTTTCACCACCACTTGTTGAACTGTTGACTTAAGCGTAAGGTATGGACCTATGATAGTCTAATTAAACAGTTGAGGGGCTACACAATGAATAAAGGGCTGCGTTAAGAGTCAGTGGAGCCCTGGGCAAATCCCAAAAGCAGCGCCCCCATTTTACCTAGTGTGGGCAGGCGGTGGTTGGGGGGCACCCAGCGGACGCCCCTGGGCATATGCCCAGTCTGCCCATTTATAAAAGCAGGCCTGAATGAATGTATAATCAATGTTACCAACAAGAATATTGGCCTCACCATTTAACTACCTCCAGTCCTCCCCTCACCAGCTCTAAACATTCTTATGTCTTTGGTTGCGACCTCCTTGACCCCCCCCCCGGACTGCCCTTGCTTCAGGATTGGAAGTTTAAAAGCAAAGTTAAGTGATTGATAAGTTCTGATTGGACAGTATTATTTTGTACCAGGATTATTTTGTTTTTTGTTCCACCATCGGAAACCATCAAAAAGTGTCCAAACTTTTCTTAAGATCAAACTAGCGACTTTTTACAAAGTGAGCACATTAACCACTCAGCTTCCTAGATATGAGAAAGTGTTTCTTAAAAATAATGTTGTTGCTTTACTTAAACTAAGCAAAAGGAAAACTTGCAAGAAATAACTGACTTTGTTTCAGGGGTATAGATCTTTAGAAGATTTAATCAAAAATGGAAACCTAACTAAACAACAACAAATTGGAATAAAATATTACAACGAGTTTTTAGATCGGATGTCAAGGAAAGAAGTTGAAGAAATTGGACAGAAGGTAATGAAATGATTGCATAGGTTTCCAAGCAGTCCAAATCAAATCAAATCAAATCAAATCGTCTTTATTTCATATTGTACATAAATCAGTACATGGAATGGCGTCAAAAAAACCATGGTTTTGTAACTTAAACAGGTCATTTTTAGACAGTGCATTTTATTTTATTTCATACAAGTGAAATTAGTCTTATATTTCCATGCACTTGTAGCGTAATTAGTCTGTATATCTCCAGTGATACAAAACAAGCTAATAGCCTCAGACTAAAAATCTAAATGGTCAGGTGACCACTCGTGATTTGGCACATGCGCAAGACGTGCTTTGAAGTTGAGAAGCACATGTTGCTGTGTGCACGTGGTATCAAGGTCGGCTGCAAGGTCTTCATAAACATGGTTTACTAAGTTAAATTAGGGATAGGGAAGGAGCCAGGGAGAATCAGCTGAACTCTATACAACATAAAATAGTCATGATTAGGTCTTAATGAGGTAGTATTATGTAGTTTAGGCCTGCTCAATTTAAATGTAACTAATCTCTATATCCCTCCAGCTAATAAGTTATACATTAATAATCATCAAGGTATGCTGTTGTTAACATAAAATTGATCAAGATTTATTATTAAAGCCAGCTGTGATGTTAAGCGTAGATTTATCACTCAGTGCACATTAACACGTTCGCTGCGGGCCATCAAATGGCAGACGTAGCCCTAGTGCGGCGCAGCCTGCAGCGTCGAACAAACCCGATTGCCGGGTGATTTGCTCTCATATTTCGGTATGACGAATAGCAAATAACGTGCGGTGATGTCCTGTTTTATAACAAGAGTCAACGTAGTTTGCTAAACACTCACAGATAGCAGCACTGCTTGGAACGTAGCCGGTCCCATCGTATTGCCAATTGGAGGGAGAAAGACGGGACAACAAGTTGATTTTTAAGTTTGCCAGACGGGGATTTTATGGGGAAATTTTACTACCAACCTACAACACAACAAAAAGCAAGTCACCCACTACACGCTAACGTGGAATAGGTCTGACTTCGACCGACGCTAGAGCAAAAACGATGATATACGAAAGGCATTGCCGAGCGTATCTGATCGGTTACGGCAGCACCTGAACAGCGCTCGGCCCGTATCCGATCGGATACGCCTGCAGTGAACGTGTTAACTTAAAAATTAGGTTTCCACTGTTTCCAGGTTTCAGGATATTTCGTAACATGTAGCACTAGTGATTATTTTGATGAGAGGGCAATGGCCCTTAAAATCCTCCTAAGGCCAACACACGATGTGAATCACATGTGAATTACTTACGAGTTGTTTAGATGTTTGCTCACATAGTGATCTGTAATGACAGGTTACAGAGTCAGCCAAAGAGGTAAATAGTAGCCTGACTACTATGTTGTGTGGCTCATACCGTAGAGGCAAACAGACCTGTGGGGACGTGGATGTGGTGGTGTTAAAACCACAACAGCTCAACTCTAAACAGATCCTCACCTCAATATTGTCTCGGTTGAAAGACACAGGTATTGTCATCTCATTGTTTCTGGTTAGTTTGTAGCAAGTGTCACACTAAAAAAATCTAATTACTAAATATGCGCAGAAAATAATAGACATTTAGCTAATTATTATACTGGTAGTGGTACCTATTAGGCCTAAATGAAAAATTTGGCAGCAGCAGCAGAATCACTAGGTAGTAACAGGTATTTGATCCTTTATACAATATTTAATAAAACTAACTTGAGTGTTTCCTTTGTTTTTGTTTTTACTATCATCTCCACTTTTCTGATATAGTAAAAAATACAATCGTTTGAGTGTTACTTTTAAGTCAAATCAACAAGCCAACTAAAGAATGTCACCTAAAGATACATTAAAAAATTGTAACCTTATTACTATTAGAAAAGTGAAGTGAAAAATGTCCATTCTGTTTTCAGCTATATAGTCTCATACTCGCCTTTGGCTTGCTGGGGGCTCCGCCCCCAGGCCCCCTTTTTTGGTTGGGGGTAAATAGAAAAGGGCCATGGCACAAGACCTGCAATTGAGCCAAATTTCAGATCTTTAGCTAATCTAGAAGTGGGTAAAATTGATTTAGACCGATGCATCTGTAGGAATAACATTTGGGGGGGATTCTAATTTTCGTGGGGGGGGGAGTTATATTTGTAAAATGTCACTTTTAGAAAAGGGCGCAAGATCAACAATCATGCCAAATTTCAGATATCCAGTTAATCTAGAAATGTGTAAACGTGATTTAGACTTATGCACCTGTAAGAATAACATTGGGGGGATTTAATATTTGGGGGGGGGGTTGTAAATACGATAGGGGAATAAAACCTTAAGTAAACCAGAGTAAATCTATAGCATGAACGGACCATGGGAACGGGGACTTATGGTGGTTTTTATGGGGTAAATGTTTTCTCCATAAGAATAACATGGGGCTCGTAAAAACTTTCAAATGTTGACATTAAACCTAAGTTTTGGGGGTTAAGGAGTAAAGTTACGAAAAAACACGTATTGTGTAAAATTTAAACTAAAGTAAGGAGAATACAAAGCAATAATAATATTTGCAAAAAGTAATGATTTAAGTATGAAAAAATAGCGAAAACCGGTAAAAGGTTGAAATAAATTTACCAAATTTTGAAAGTAGGGAGTTTTTTGAACCCGAAAGAGTGCGATTTTCGGAAAACACTTAAGAGGGTTTTGTAGAAAATTTAATTCCTGTTCCTGGATATTCTTTCAAATCTTTTCTAGCTCTTACTGTTTTCGAGCTAAATCCGTTTGAAAAAAACGTGTTTTATCGTTTTCAGAGGTCCGCCATTTTGGATTTTTGGCGGGGTTAAAATTTGAAAATGGGACTTTTGCAAATTTCACCGTTAATATAAGATCCCCTACAACAATAATACCAAGTTTCAAGTCTCTAGCACGTTTCTAAATGGTTCAGATGAGCACACCAAAGTCGACCACTTTCAATGTTATTCTCCATAAGAATAACATGGGGCTCGTAAAAGTGGCAAAAAACCTTCAAATTTTGAGATTAAAATTAAGTTTTGGGGGTCAAAGAGTAAAGTTACGAAGAAACATGTAATGAGTAAAATTTAAAGTAAAGTAAGGAGAATACAAAGCAAAAATAATTTTTGAAAAGAAAAATTATTTAAGTATAAAAAAATGGCGAAAACCGGTAAAAATGTAATAAAAATTTACCACATTTTGAAAGTAGGGCGTTTTTTGAAGGTGAAGGAGTGCGATTTTCGGAAAACGCCTAAGAGGGTTTTGTAGAAAATTTAATTCCTGTTCCTGGATATGCTTTCAAATCTTTTCTAGCTCTTACCGTTTTCGAGCTACATCCGGTTGAAAAAAAAGTGTTTTTTTCGTTTTCAGAGGTCCGCCATTTTGGATTTTTGAGGGGGTTAAAATTTGAAAATGGGACTTTTGCAAATTCCACCGGTAATATAAGATCTCATACTACAATACTACGCAAATTTGAAGTCTCTAGCACATTTCTAAGCGGTTCATATGAGAGTACCAAATTCGGTATTTTTCAATGTTATTTCCCATAAGGATAACATGGGGGGGGGGAAATTCGAAATTTCGGGGGGGTTAAAATTTGAAAATGCGACTTTTCGGATTTTTCCCGGGGGTTTAGTCACTAGACCTACGACCACCGAAGATTTCAAGTCTCTAGCTCATCTAGAAGTGGTCTAGAATTTGTATCCCTTAGTTACATATGCGGGATTATAGTATTTAGACTCGCCTTTGGCTCGCTGGGGGCTCCGCCCCCAGGCCCCCTAGCTTTTAGTCGGGGGTAAATGAGCCACGGGGGACAGGGCACAAGACCTACAATCGGGCCAAATTTCAGACATCCAGTTAATCTAGAAATGGGTAAACGTGATTTAGACTTACGCACCTGTAAGAATAACATTGGGGCGGGGGAGGATATAATATTCGGGAGGGGGGGTTAGAAATACGATAGGGGGATTAAACTTTAAGTAAACCAGAGTATATACAAAATATTAATAATGGTTGCAAAAAGAATTTACTTAGATTGGGAAAAGTAGTGAAAATTGGGGGTAAAATTTTGTAAGTACAAATGTGCCACAGGGGGACAGGGTGCAAAATTCAGGATTTTTAGCTAATCTAGAAATTGGTAAACGTGATTTAGACCGATGAATCTGTGGTGGCTATAGGATAGATATAAGGGGGATTTCGAGAGGGGGTGACCTTTTAAATGGTCCTTATTATATTCATACCTTGGTGTTAGCTCTAATACAACTTTGTATAGTTTTAATAACCTTGTGCATACAGAAAAGGTAAAGAGTCTATTATTACCTCGTGAAACTGGTGAAACCTTTTAAATTTTGATATTAAACTTAAGTTTTGGGGGTCAAGGAGTAAAGTTACGAAAAAAACATGTATGATTAAAACCGAAATTAAGCCAAGAAAAATACAAAGCATTAATAACATTTGCAAAAAGTGATTATTGAAGTATGTAAAAATAGCGAAAACCGGTAGAAATTTGAAAAATACCAATTTCTGAAAATAGGACGTTTTTTAGGGGTGAAGGGGAGACATTTTCGGAAAACACGTGTAAAGGGTTTTGTAGAAAATTAAATTCCTGAACATGAAAATCCATTCAAATCTTGGCTAGCTCCTATTGCTTTTTAGTTATAGCCGTAAAAAACGTGTTATATCGTCTTTAGATATCCGCCATTTTGGATTTTTGGGGAGTTAAAAATTTTAAAATGTGACTTTTGCAAATTTCACCCTTAACTTAGTATCCCATACTACAATACTGCCAAATTACAAGTCTCTAGCACGATTCTAAACGATTCTGATGACAATAACAAAGTCATTAAATTTCAATGTTATTCTCCATAATAATAACATTGGGCTCGTAGTTTTGGGGGTCAAGGAGTAAAGTTACGAAAAAAAATGTAATAGTAAAATTTAAAGCAAAGTAAGGGAAAGCAATAATAATATTTGCAAAAATAAATTATTCAAGTATAAACAAATTGCGAAAACCGGTAAAAATTTTATAGAAATTTACCAAATTTTGAAAGTAGGGCGTTTTTTTGAAGCTGAAGGAGTGCGATTTTTGGGTAACGCTTAAAAGCATTTTGTAGAAAATTTAATTCCTGTTCATGAAAAATCTTTCAAATCTTTTCTAGCTCTTACAGTTTTCGAACTATAGCCGATTGAAAAATACGTGTTTTGTCGTTTTCAGAGGTCCGCCATTTTGGATTTTTGGGTGTGTTAAAATTTAAAAGTTGGACTTTTGCAAATTTCACCATTAACTTCGGATCCATTACTAGAATACTAACAAATTTCAAGTCTCTAGCACATTTCTAAACGATTCATTTGACCATACTAAAGTCATCAAATTTCAATCTTATTCTGCATAAGAATAATATGGGGCTCGTAAAAGTGGTAAGTATTTTGGGACAAGGAGTAAAGTTACGAAATAACATGTAATGTGTAAAATTTAAAGTTAAGTAAGGAGAACACAAAGCAATAATAATATTTGCAAAAAGGAATTGTTTAAGTATGAAAAAATAGCGAAAACCGGTAAAAATTTGAAAGAAATTTAAAAAAATTTTAAAATTATGGCGTTTTTTGAAGCTGAAGGAGTGCGATTTTAGGAAAACGCTGTAATGGGTTCAGTAGAAAATTTAATTTCCTTTCGCTAAGATCCTTTCAAATCTTTTCTAGCTCTTACTGTTTTCGAGCTATATCCGTTTAAAAAAAACTTGTTTTATCGTTTTCAGAAGTCCGCCATTTTGGATTTTTGGCGGGGTTAAAATTTGAAAATGGGTCTTTTGCAAATTTCATTATTAATATAAGATCCCTTACTACAATAATACCAAGTTTCAAGTCTCTAGCACGTTTCTAAACGGTTCAGATGAGCACACCAAAGTCTACCATTTTCAATGTTATTCTCTATAAGAATAACATGGGCTTGTAAAAGTGGTAAAAAACCTTTAAAATTTGACATTAAACCTAAGTTTTGGGGGTTAAGGAGTAAGGATACAAAAAAACATTAAGTGAGTAAAATTTAAAGTAAATTAATGGGAACACAGAGCACTAATAATATCTGCAAAAAAGAATTATTTAAGTATGAAAAAATAGCGAAAACCGTAAAAGATTTCAAAGAAATGTACTAAATTTTGAAAGTAGGGCGTTTTTTGAAGGTTAAGGAGTGTGATTTCCGGAAAACGCCTAAAAGGGTTTTGTAGAAAATTTAATTTCCTTTCGCTAAGATTTTTTCAAATCTGTTCTAGCTCTTACCGTTTTCGAGCTACATCCGGTTGAAAAAAAAGTGTTTTTTCGTTTTCAGAGGTCCGCCATTTTGGATTTTTGGGGGGTTAAAATTTGAAAATGGGACTTTTGGGAATTTCACCGGTAATATAAGATCCCATACTACAATACTACCAAATTACAAGTCTCTAGCACGTTTCCAAACGATTCGTATGACCATACCAAAGTCATTAAATTCCAATCTTATTCTCCATAAGAATAACATGGGGCTCGTAAAAGTGGCAAAAAACCTTCAAATTTTGAGATTAAAATTAAGTTTTGGGGGTCAAGCAGTAAAGTTACGAAAAAACAATTCATGAGTGAAATTTAAAGTAAAGTAAGGAAAATACAAAGCAATAATAATATTTGCGGAAAAAAATTATTTAAGTATGAAAAAATGACGAAAACCGGTAAAAATTTAATAAAAATTTACCAAATTTTGAAAGTAGGGCGGTTTTTTAAGCTGAAGGAGTGCAATTTTTGGAAAACGCTCAAGAGGGTTTTGTAGAAAATTTAATTCCTGTTCCTGGATATACTTTCAAATCTTTTCTATCTCTTACCGTTTTCGAGCTATATCCCTTTAAAAAAAACGTGTTTTGTCGTTTTCAGAGGTCCGCCATTTTGGATTTTTGGGGGGTTAAAATTGGAAAATGGGACTTTTGCGAAACTCACCGTTAATTTAAGATCCCATAGTACAATACTACGCAAATTTGAAGTCTCTAGCACGTTTCTAAGTGGTTCAGATGAGCATACCAAAGTCGGCATTTTTCAATGTTATTTCCCATAAGAATAGCATTGGGGGGGAAATTCTTAAATAAGGGGGGGTTAAAATAAAAAAATGCGACTTTTCAGAATTTTCCCGAGGGTTTAGGCACTAGACCTACAAAACGCCGAAAATTTCAAGTCTCTAGCTTATCTAGAAGTGGTTTAGAATTTGTATCCCCTGTCAGTCAGTTACACATCGGGCTGTATAGTTATTTAGATTAGATCAAAACGTGCTTAGTATATTATTTTCTTTTTTCATAAAGCCAAAACATGAGGCTGGATAGCTAGCTCAGTGGTTATAGTGGTTGCCTAGTAATTAAAAGGTATACAGTTAAGTCCTGAGAAAAGAGTGTAGCTTTTTGATGGTTCGAAATTGGAATGAACGAATGAACTGATCGTGATCATTGAGTTTTTAATAATTAATGAACAGCTGCTCTTAGTCAGTACCGTAACAAAGCTACACAAGGCATCTCACTCTATTCTACAATCATCTCTCACTCGGGTTAAAATACACTACTAGGTGACGTCCCCATCTCTATTGATAATGATCATAATAATAATAATAATTTATAAATAAGTACTTGTTATTTTTGGTATATTTGTGATAAAGGGTTTAGAGCTCTATGCACAAGATAGATAATACAGGGTGAGGCAATGAGAACGCCACAATTTGTTTTAGCTGTCACATGTTAATTGTTGCAACAACAAATGATCAGCTGTGCTTATAACATCAATTGAACTGCCATTTTAGTAAATATTATTCCTGAGGCTATTAACACTGAGATTTTGACGTGGAACCCTATTTAAAAAATAGTGATTCTTGTGCAAAAACCCAGAGATTGTTTGGACCACATTCCATCCTTGGTCAACATGGCGTTGTTCCAGATTGGAAAACAATGGTCATTTGGGTAAAACTGTTTAGGATAAACGCTTAAATCTTAAAAATAATCGGTGGGTGCTGCAAAACTCTTTGTACACCAGCAAATGTTGAAAGAGTGCGAGTCGCAGTAACTCAAAAGTCCAAAGGGATTTGCCAGGAAGCTTTTGTTGTTGAACACTTTACGCTGGCCCCTTTTTTTGGGAGGGGGGAGGGAGTTGTTCTAATAAGCTATTTGAAGTTCGAGGTTTTTCAAAGTCACCCCACAGATTTGCTTGAACTGAAGCTAAGAATCGTCCAAAAACTAAAGTGAACCGTGAACCTGAAGAAATGCTGGAGGAGTATTTGATCGAGTTTTCAAGTGCCTTAAAAGGAATGTCAAGTAGGTCAAGGACGTCACTTGCAGGATTTTGTTCTCAAGAAATGGAAAAATGACTTTTTAAAGTTAAAATGGCAAAAGATAAGCTGTGTTTTGATGTGCTATTTACATCTATAGGGTGAATATTATTGAGCTTGTACAGCTTATAAATTGGGGTGCTTTCATTGCCCCACCCTGTACAAATATGTCCTACTATAATATGTGTTACTGTACCACTTTGTCTGTCTGTGCTGCATCAATGTAATCCTTGTTTAAAAAATGTTGTTTTATACTTACCTAGCCTATATTATCTGTGTGACTGAAATGGGAGTGATACTACTTGACTTTAGTGTAAGATACAACGCATTGTTTAGTATTCATAACGGATGATTTGGTGAGCCTGGAGAAAAATGGGAATCAGAGAAAGTATTTAGGTGTCTGCAAATTACCTGGAGATGAACATAAAGTAGGTGTATTAAGTCTATTATCTAAGTTTTACAAGAGTGTAAATGATTCAAAATTGTAAATTGTATTCTGTTTTTTAAGCTAGTTTTCAGAGCAGTTTGCAGTTATAAATCAATCTTAAGTAATACAGTAGAACCTCGATAGTTCGAAACTTTATGTACTTAAGGGATATCGAACTATCGAAATGTTGAACTATAGGGAGTAAATGGAGTTTAATATGCAGCAAAGTAAAAACACAAGTCTTAGAAATCAGCCAAATTTATTAAATACTAAAAACCTTAATTAATTTCACTGTTCATTAGTTAAGTCTCAAGTCAACAATAAATGACAAATTAATGTTCAAGTCAGCGCACAATGTTCAAGTATATATAACAATAGTAACCATTAATTATCACTTGAAAAAATAGCTCACAGCCGGTGTTGAACTACAAGGAGTGTTGAACTATCCTGTTTAACTGTGGTTTACAAATATAAACCACTTACATGCATTGATTTTGATAAAGAATACGAGGGGCCCCTGTGTGAAATTATACACTTTATTAGAGTTCAAATCTTGTTTCCAAGGCAAATCGAATATTGTATCATCCTTTTACATTTTAAAGATTATGTTTGCTTAAAATAGTAGTTAGGTAGAAAAAACTACAAATTTACAAAAAATAATTTCCCTACCACTGTATGGAAATTATCACATTGCCATACCTGTAAACAGTACGCAAAATAGCTCATTGCATTCGCTAATCAGCTTAAAGTAGTAAAGGCTAGCAGTGCCGTGTGTGGGAACTGTTTGTGGCAATTAGATTAATGTATCGGCAATCCTAAAATGCTATGTGAAGGGAGGGAAACAGGTCCACAACGTAGGAAGTGGTGAAGGAAGTAGTAAAGGGGAGCAGTGTGGAGTGTGGGAATGGAATAATGTATCTTCAATACTAAGACTGCTCTGAGTGTAAACTGATGATTTTCTCTGAGCAAATCTCGCTCCCCAGGTACTTTAAAACTAACTGTCAAAAACTTGTTTGTTCGTTATTTACTATCTAACTTAAGTCATTCAACTGAAAGAACAGCTGTTATTGAATTACAATTTATCTGGGCAACACCAAAAATGAAATCACCTTTTTAGTTGCCATTTGTTGGGATAAAAAATGATTTACTCAGTCCTGTAACAGCTGTATATGTAATTCTGATTGTTGTAATGTTTGTTTGTTTAAGTTTTTGTGTAAACTAACTACCAGTCTATTAAAATGGTTCTCTAACCGTGTCTTATATTTATTTAATTCTACTATTAAGAGCCGGCTGGAGCCAGCGAAAATTTCGCCTTTTGGCAGCGCCTGCAATACGTGAGAGGCGGGAGCGCCACTATCGGTGGCCACTAGGGGAGTTACGTGCTCTTGCTCTATTGACAGAACTAAACCTAGGCTTCGAGAACAACACACAGTGTAAACAAAACACTGAATAACCGCAAGGAACCAAGCAAGATAGTAACGTAGCCCCTCCTCGACCCCTTATCGATCATAAATCATAACAGCTGAATGTTTGTCGGGTTTGGTCGGGTCTGACCTGACCTTCACTAAAGCTTGCTATGCCACTTTGAAACAATTGTAGTACAAGTCATTGATATAACTTTGATACAAGATTGAATGATTTTAAAACCATTTTTAACAATGTTTAGATATAAGTTTTATTACAGTTATCGTTATTTAAAAATCAGTTTGAAGCTTTTTTCTAAGAATGTGTGTTTGAGCGATTAAAATTTTATCAAAGATCCTAAAAATTATATCAACCATTTTTTAAATCTAAGATTTGACTAACATACGTTTCAAAACAGTTTTAACAAAATTCTAAACAACATATGAACAGTTTTAACATTTGGTTAGTAGCTATAGTCTTTCAATTGCTTTAAAGAATTTTAAAAATAATTTCCAAAAATGTAAATACGACTAAACTGATATGTTCTAACGTAAGTTACAACAAGTTTGACTAATCTTTAACACGTTAGCTGCCGCGCCGGTCCGGTCGGGACGGCATGACCAGGTCGGATGTAATGACATGCCGACCCGATCGGGTCGACACCTCAGGAATGCAAGGGATAGATGGCCCTCATCTAGCGGTGATCAAGCATACTACAACAGTAGAGTATATCCCGTTCCTACTAGATAGCGTTGATTGAAGTTTCTGATGATTCTACATATGGTTCAAACAAAAACGTTAACATAGTCAAAATGTGACGACCCGATCGGGTCGGCGTGGTTGTTTTAGATGGTTTCAGCACTACTTACGATTGAAAAATGGCAATTTCGTGTAAAATAATAAAATAAGAAATGTTTTACAATTTGTTTTACTTTATGTATCATTGTAATCATTACCTACTAAGAATAAGAATACTAATAGATAGCTTGTATTATTTTTTATGTTGATAAAATTGTAAAAAAATGTTTATTCTAAAGTTGTTGCTGGGTTTGAAATAAAAAAAGTATTTACAGAACAATCTTATTTATTGTCTCAGTAGGCTACATTAGTTGATAAAAAAAAACTAAACATTGTTTATTAAAAATTTTTCGTTTCTGAAAGTATACTGCTGAAAAAATAAATTTGTAAAAGAATAAAAATTTATTACTTAGATTCAAAATATCTAAAACAGTGTCGTTAAAGTTACCTTCTTGTTTTCCTGTGTCTTTAGTCTATTTGTGAATGTTCATAAAACAGTTCTTGCATAAGTAAGGCTTATCGGGGCACTTATTGCAAGTGAGTTTACGCGGGAAAGTGTGGTATTGCCATCTGCGCAAAGCAATAGAATGGTTGTAGACTACACCAACATACGCAGGTGGCAACAAAAGGGCGCGAACGATAGGGCTGCTGGCAAGTTTACGTGGGAAAGTGTGGTATTGCCAACTTCGCAAAGTAAAATTGCCTTCAGCAGGCCCATTCGACGTGTTTCCCGATCGGGTCGGCAGCTATTTATTTTAGTGATTTTTTGCTGAAAAATGTTAGTGCCGACCCGATCGGTCAAAAACTACCCCCACCCCTAAATATAATAATTATGATTCAAAACATCATATTTTAACCCATAAAAGTAAATAGAAACAATATTAGTGAAATTCTACATAAAATAAAGTTTGGCAATACTGTGAAAAGGTTGAATATCAAGGTGGCAGTTAACGTGTTAAACTATTTCTAAATATTATTGATATTAAACGACTTGTTTGTCTAAGATTGTATAAAAGAACAGTTCATGTAATAAAAACGGTATGTACGTTGAACGATTTCAACACGTGTTGTTTAGTAAATTGTATTAAAGTGGGTAAGTATTTTTTTATCCTTGAGTGAAATGTTATTTTAATCAAATTCGTTACAAATAGGCCCTAATGTGAGGCATACTAGTATAATTGTCTTAAATGCAAGTAGGTGATCTTCCCTTTTTAATGTAAAAACACTGTTGATTTTTCTCAACTCCATAAATTTCTTAGGGAGTTATTTCCCATTAATTGCATTATTTGTAAACAACTTTTAATGTAAACATTTTGGTGACAGTTTGAACAAAACAACCTCATCCAAACAGCTTTTTGTTATTTAAAAGATTGCGTATTCTCTAAACTATGTTTCGTATATGTAGTTAAAATAAGAAGGAAATGTGAAAAAATCACACAATGTTGTGTTTTTTAACGTTTTAAATTTGATTTCCTAAATAGGTAGGCCATGTATTGTAGGGAAAAGTACCAGTATCAAGGATCGTCGTCGAATAGGTTGTCATGGATAATTGGATAGGCCTACGTACCCAAGATACAGTCCATGGGCTTATTGGCTGTATGGTCCAGCGATTGCAGCACATAGCGGTGAGTAGAAACAGAAAGTGACACATTGGGAAAGCGAGTTTAGCATCATCCGTAAACCGGCAAACCTCTGTTACAATCACCCATTGCAGTTAAGATTTTTCACTTTACACTTCACACAACCGCCATTGATCTCCGTCAATGAGTAAAAACCTTGTTAGTAAGCTATTGGCGACGATGATTTTTAAATGTAAGTTCCCAGCCCTATACAACACTGATTCAAGGTCTTTTTCCCGGTTATCAAAACTTCAGAACAATTTTATACACAAAGAATCTCTAATTTCATTTACGGTTACAATACACATTATTGAACTTTCGATTAATTAAATCCTTTATGTAAGGAAAATTGTTTTTAATCTCACTTGGTTTGGATTTTGCTTTCAAAACGTTATTGGAAATGTTTGCGGTATTTGTAAACAACATTTAATGTAAACATATCAGTGACAGCTAGAAAAAATAATCTTGATCCAAACAGCTGTTCGTTATTTCATAGATGATTATGTGATGGACATTGGGAGAAAATTTACAAGGTAGCCTACAAAAATTGCACGAAATCGGGTTTTTAAACATCCGTCATTTTATTTAAAAAATAGTGAGGCCATATTTTAATGGATAAAGACAATCTCGCCAATCCAGTGAATACATTAAAATGATTTGGATCTTGATAGGTATAGGTACTCTCGTTTTTCAGGAGAAGGCCGCGTAAAATGCCTCTTGGGCCGTAACAGACAGACCGACAGACAGAAATAGAGATGAGACTTGTTTCGGCTTCTTAAATGTATAAAACGGAAAAATAATCTAAAAATTTATTATTTTGAGCGATGTACAGACAAAACTCTAATTTTATTTACATAGATTTAGACAAACTTCCAATTACAGCAAAGCTCTTTTTATTTGCCGATGATACTGCAGTTATATTCAAAGGTAATACTGTACTTAGGACCAAACATTCAATGCAGCGCAAACAGATAATATTACTTAATCAAAAATGGTTCTCTCAAAATGTTATCAATGAATGTTTAACAAAAAAATATATGTCGATTTTCCTCAGACAAAGTAGTGAGCCTCCCGCCAACCTCAGGCTGGTGATGCACATTTGTGGACATTGAGTGGTTACCTGGAGTTACCTGTGGTTGTTTACATTTGGTGAGAGTAGATCATAACAAGTACTTGGGAG